TTCCTTTCATTTACTCTTAGTGTCAAAAAAGGCAGATTTCGATCAGGTGATCTCAGCTGTGTAACACACATAGGAAAACCGCTGATTCTTTTGTTACTTGTAGGATTATACAATGTTCTAATTTTATTATATATTTGGTTGTCCTTATATATTATCTAGATATCTTACTTATCTAATTAAATGTACCTGTGTATGTGTGTATGTTTGTCTGTATTTTCACACGACATGGGGTTGCTTTTAATTGTACAACTCAAAACATATGCGTGCGTGTGTGTTCGTATGTTATCAATTTATATGATCAGAACTGTAAGCTGAATGACATTATATAAGGATGGATTCGAATATCTAGAGAGGACTGTGGAACAATTCATCAATCCGAGATGCGACAATGTGCAAAAAATTCAAATTATATTTATCGAGGCGATAAAGTAAACTTGCATATGATTATCACAAAATTGTAAAAAAAACTTTCTGTTTGGTAATTGAGTTATGTAGGAAGCACAAAGATATGCTAAATGTATTCAGAGCAGAACTTGGCCATTTTTGATTTCGAATTCGGTGCAAGCGAAAACTTGTGTAAATGTTAAGATATCTTGGTGAAACTTCGAACACGTGTTCCTTAGCACAAAGGAGATCAGTATTGCAGATGGGCGGAATCGGTCCATTGCCACGCTTATAAAGTTCCGTTAAGCGAAAAAATATAAAATGTCATAACGTATACCAAATATAAATATAAATATTTTCTAACTTACGTATGACTTTATACTTTACATATTGATGAATCTGTGAGGTATCTTGATGAAACTCAGAAGGCATCTTTAATAATATATCATAATGCCAAAAATGGATCAAATTTAGTCAATACCACCCGTAGTCCTCATATACCTAATATAAGACTTTCAAACTTCCGGTTGACTTTATACCGAATATATCTGTCAATATGTAAGATACCTCAGAAAAGTTAGTGAACGTAGTATATTGGATATACTTATATTTACAGATAGTCAAGCGGCTTTGAAATCACTAGAGACTCTTAGGGTTTAATCGAAGATAATGAAAGAATGTATTGATCTATTAACTAGTAACTGTGACGGAGATGAACTAGCCAGAACAGGCACCAAACTATTCGCAGACATACCAGCAGACTGGGCATACCATACAATCTTGAATGCGAATGCATGGTTTTGTATAGAAAAATAATCGGTCGTGGGCTTCTTGGCGATGCTTTGGAAGTTGCATATATAAATCTTTTTTAATTGATAAACTTCATTAGAAGTACGGGGTGGCTCAGAGAGGACATAGAAGAGTGGGAGGATTTAGTCGCGGTGGCTTCATAAAATCTCTAGGTGCGACGTCAGACATCCACCTAGCCATACTAAAATGTTCGGTTTCACTCGACCTTAGCCCTTCCGTACTTGTTTTAACATATTTTAGAAATGCGTAAACACATTAGACGAGACGTATTATATTGAAATACCTACTATACAAATTTCCAACTTACATACAATTTTTCTGAGGATGTGTTACAAAGTCGATGTTTCAATAAAATACTAAACTTTCGTGTGCGTTCTGCAGATGTTAATGATGCCACTGGTAGGGTTGAAGCGGTTGCTGATGTACTAATTGATCTGTATGGTATTGTGGACATAAATTCCAGTTCATTGTCATTTATTGCAATTTTAGCACATTCGTTAGGATTTGATTTTATCGTTTTGTGATTACCGTAGATTCTTTGCAAATATTGAAACATTATACATTATATATTTATATACATGAAAGTGCGTGAAAAAATTTGCCAAGTATGTCGGCTAGATTGACTGAATAAACCAACTAAATGACTTTCTGACATTTGCCAACTCAATCGGTAACAGTATGTATTGGCATGTGTATATTGTATAGGTATATATTATATATAGACAATAAGATACTTATGTATAAGCGATGTATTATGTAAGCACATTTATCACACACTCTAACGTTATTTCATATGTACATATATGGTTCGGCTTTATTGTATTCGACTGAGCGTTGACGGGTGGGAACAAAGCCATTTTTATCAGGCTAAATTTAATTTGATATAATAAGGTTACCGCCAATGTTACCGCTGTATGGGGTCCTATATTTGTAACTGCAACAACTCGATTATTTATTGCACTGTGCCTCACTCCGTGAAGAAATGTTTGAAAAATATTTTATATTATATTATGTTTGCTGAATATAATGTGAATTCCGCTGTCGCGATAATGAAAAATTGTTTTGAAAGCAGCTAAACCGTTTTGTTATATATATGAATGAGTTTAATTAATTTGATCGATTTTATGCTGCTTAATCTGACATCCCTATAACCAGGTGACTGACTGAAATACTTTATACAAATTCGGTATATAATACTAGAAAATATATGAACCGATTGCCATTATTTTTGGATCAGGATTAAAAATTTCGTGAGCGCTATATGCGCTAGTTTTATTTTAATATATTTATAAATGCTTGAAATATGTCTGTAAAGTGGAAAAAGATCATGTTCCAAATTTCAACCATTATAAAACAAAATTAACTTCAAAGTGGATCGTGCCACACTCAGTCTCTAATTTTTAATGTATAAATCCGAAATATAAGGTACATATAAATAAAAAGGTACGTAAAAATAAATTAATTATTTTTGCAATAAATTGAAGGTTTTGTTAAACATAGTGATCCGATTCAAGTCAAATATTCACCGACCGTTTTGTCCACTCATATAGAAATCCTCGTCCCTAGTGTCAAAAAAAAGGTCAACCGCCGCCGATAACGAACTACTATCCCATATAGCTGCCATACATACTGACCGACCAAAATCAAGTTCTTGAAAGAAAACTTGAACCTGTGATAGGTATTATAGCTTCGGTGCAGCCGAAGTAAAATTTTTTTCTTGCTTTCACAAGCTTCGCTGCAGGCAAAATTTTCACCAGCAAAATCATTCGCCAAAGACAGGAACAGGTAGTAATCACTTGGTGCCAAATTCTGACTATTAGCTATAGCTCCCAGAGCTTCTATATATGAAATTTTATCTTTCTGAGGCCATTTAGCCTAACCAGATCGCACTTAATAAACGCGAAATACAGATTACTAAAGCAATTAAATTGGAAAAATAATGGATTTTTTTCCAAGAGCTTCTATTGCTAATCCATACAGGTTTTAGCCACAAAATCTCTTTCCACCTTTCGTTATATTTTATTCATTTACTTTACCCATTCATAAGAAAATAATTTTGAGCAAAAAAATTTGACTAATCCATTCAGGTTTTAGCCACAAAAACTATACCCATTCATATGAAAAAACGTCTGATCCCTGATTAAACCCAAATAATTTTTATTTTCAAAACATATTGCTACAGAGCATAACAGTTTTGTTCACCTAAGGGTTGTTTGTATCACATAAAACCAATCAAGAAAGATATAGAGGTTATATACAAATTATTAGGATGACAAGACGAGTTGAATTTCGAGTGACTGGCTGTCCGTGCAAGACGATAACTTGAGTAATAATTGAGATATCTTGATTAAACTTGGACGTGTACCATTCCGTATGAGCGCTGTCCGACTTTTGCTACACAAAATGCCGTTTATCGAAAACCTATAAAGTGTCATAACAAAGCCGAAAATTAAGATGCGAAATTGTAATTTAGTACAGGACTTTGGCGCATATATGGACATATGTGGTTTAAATTTTTTTTAGAAGAGGGCTTGGCCCCATTCAATAGGTTTCGTATATCTCACAAACCGCTAAAGCTACTTCAACCAAATTGTCTTTCTGGCACTTCCTCAAGCACTGAGAAAATAGGTTAAATCAGATGATAACCATCCAGAGAGCATCTTTTTCCGAAAATAATATGTCGCGGTGCCTGATATGGATAACAACATTTAATTCTTTTCCTATATACCTAATATATGAATTTAAAACTTCCGGTTGAATTTATAGCGTTTATATCGGTCAATAAGTAAGACGTCTTATCAAAGCTAAGGGAACGTATAAAATGAAATATACTACAGCCTTGTTCCGAAAACTATAATATTTTAATTAAATTTAATAGATTTCTTAAAAATAATGTGGTTTGCTGTTTAATATAAGTCGAATTCGTCCAGACCTTGGCCTAAACCTCATATCCCTAATATAATGAGTTCCCACTATTTGGTTGTTTTTTCCACGTATACCCAATATGTTAAATTTATCTGATTTGGTTTACCTTATATCACATACGAGGTCTGTTCAAAAATTAAGGTGAATTTTCAAATTTCACGGGCTATGTACATTCGATTATCGATTTTTTTATTTTGTTATGTTAGTAAACTCGAACAAATGGATTAAAGAATTTGCATTCATTTTTGTGTGAAAAATGGAATTATATAAATGCTCAAAAATACTTGAAATGTCGACAGCGGCAGTTTACAAGTGGTACAAGCTTTTCAAAGATGGTCGAGAAGATGTGAATGACGACGCTCGTTCTGGACGCCCCTGGACATCAACAACTCATCTGTGAAATGTTGAGAAAGTGAAGGAAATTGTTATAGAGAATTGTGAAATTTGCTGAAGATGTCGGCAAATCGGTTGTTGTTGACGCCATGCAATTTTTTCGGTAATTTTGGGCATGAAGCGTTGGCAGCGAAGTTCATTCCAAAGTTCCTGAGTTTTAACCAAAAAAAAACGTCACATGAGCATCGCTCAGGAATTGTTGAATGACGTCAACGGCGATCCAGATTTGCTTAAAAGGATCAGGGTCATAACTGGTGACGAATCATGGGCATATAATACCAAAGTCCAATCATCCCAATCGAAATGCTCAGGAGAGCCAAGGCCAAAAAAAATTGCTGAAAGAGCTCAAGGGCATACCAAAAGGTGCATAAGTGCTTCGAGCAAAAAACGCTGGCACAAGTGTATTATATCTGAGGAGGACTACATTGAAAGGGACAAAATAGAAATTGATGAATAAATAAATATTTTTGGAGAAAAATGAAAACTCATTTTATTTGTATTTTTTAACATTTGATCCTCATTTGATTTATTTTATTTGGTTTTTTAATAAATATTTCGGACACCAAGCAAAATGTACTAATGAAACTGAGTGAGTCTACGATTTATATTATACATAAGCTAATAAGACACCAAATTTTATTGTACTCCATTCAGTTTCTTCGAATAATAAATGTTAATTTGAAAATGTTCTTACGCGACATTTATTATAGGGTTGAGCCAATACCTGAGAATATTTTCCCGGCTTTAATCCTTGCAAATTGTGAGATTTAAAAATGTTCGGTTACACCCGAACTTACCCCTTCATCACTTGTTCTAAAGTGAATTGTTCCAACATTAGCACTAAAGATATAAATTTTAATTACATACTGCTATAATATGATGAATTTCTGTAATATGTTATTATACTTACATTTAATTGGATTATAATCTTATTGTAGGCCCAATGCCAACGCTGCTTTGCTGTAATCTCTGACTTGCGGAGCATATGCAAGTGCCCGCTGACCACTTCCTCGGTTTCACCGCGTACGAGGATTTTTTTCTTGGGTGTTACAGCGGGAATGGACGGCAATTCGCACATTGTGTCATTTTCATTTTCAATTAGTGACTCATGGCTTGACTTACGACTATGCGGCTGTTGATCTTTACATATTACACTATTGTTGACACCGATATCATTGAGCAACATGTCTTCTTCATCCTCCTCTACAATTATGCTATCCTGTTTTTTGATTTGATGTTGATGGGACGATGACGGTAAAGCAGCAGCAGCGTTCCCATTGATCATACCAGAGGAGTTATCTGTTGTTGGTACAATAGGTAATGTGTTCAAATCATTCAACATTTTATCATGCTCTCCACTAATTGGTATTTCAGCGATTTGTATTGAATGTAATTTACTTGCTAAAGCGTTTGCCGCTCCACCAACAACACTACTGCTCGAACTTTCATCTAGATAATTGCCACTGTCTTCGCTTTGGTAATTATCTTCCATATAAATATCGCTAGAATCCTCATATTGATATTTTTGTTGCTGTTTTTGTTTCAGTAAGTTTTGCTGTTGTTGTTGAAAAAGTATTTCCTGTTCTTTCTGAAGATATTTATACTCATCTTCTTCATTAAAATAATCCTCGCGATAATCATAACCACCATTTGTATGCTCATAATAACCATTGGTAGCTAAGCCTCGTTGGAGATGTTGAGACAACTTTTGTTGGGAATCCGACGGTGCTTCCTGCAGCTGGGGGTCCGAGTAGTAATTAGCCTGCTCACTATCGATGTCATAAATTTGCTGAATTTGTCGTAAGCTTTGCTGTTTGTGGCTCAGCTCTCGACCAATGCGATTATCAACGGAATACAAATCCAAATCATCATTATCATCTACATCTATATTACTCAAATTATTTTCACTTAGTTCGTCGACGGTTTCGCCGTCGTCGAGCAAATCGTTATGTTCATCAGCGGAGCCGATCAAATGATGTTGACTGGTATCAGTCACTAGATCAATAATTAGATCTTCGTCGTAGATTTCCGTTGGCTGTTGCTTTATTAAAAACCCGGATTTACTGCTATTGATGGCGGGCAACTTTTTACCTGTGGATCCAGCTGTGGGCACCGACGGCAATATTTTACAGTTTTGTTGCTTTTGGAGTTGATCTTGATTACCATGCAAAATGTAATTGGTGTATTGTCGTCCTGCAGCATCTGTAACAGACATTGAGTTACTTGCTGTAACTGTTGTTTCTGCTGTTTCTACATTATTTTTGTAGTTGTACAAATTTCTATTGTCATAATCCTCGGCCATTGTTGTGGTAGCAGAATAATAGCTTGGTGATATTGTGCTTTGTTGTGAAAGCAATTTTTTCTGATGATTAGTTGTTGCAACCGATGCTGTTGATATTGTTGCAGTCGTTACAGCTATTTCTGTTGATGAAGGCGCTATAACTGTTGCAGCCTTTTGTTGTACGGATGTGGTAGCCTGATTGACAACTTGTGTTGCAGACTGTACAGCAGCAGCTGCTTTTCCTAGAAATGAACCAAACATACCACCACTACTACCGGTGCTAGGCTTAACAGGCTTCACTGTTAACGATGGCTTACTATTGGTGCTACTTGCGCTGCTTGTAAGTGGTCGTTGGTTATTTACATGTGCAGTGAGATTCGAAATCGCTGGTAAGAGAGATGAGGAAGCCTTTTGCGCAAGTGACGATGTATTTTGCAATCTAGTGTTATTTAGACCTTCCTCCTGCTGTTGTTGTTGCTGTGGCGTATGTTCGCGGTTAATTTGTTGCTGTGGATGGTAATATGTAGTCGTCATATCATTTTCAACATAACCTGATGTACTAATCATACTACCATCAATTACACCAACATGCATTTCTTCGTTGATTTGCTCTACATGAGAAACATTTTCCATATCATCAACAGCTTGGTGTATATCCGCTACATATTCATTATACTTAACTTGGCCATATTCTTCATTCGCGGCCGCAACAGGCGCCACATCAGCAACATCATAGCTAACTTTATATGCATAGCTATTTAGGCCAGTTTTTCTAATATCATTTCTCACCACTTCACTTAAAGGCAATAGAGAATGAATTTCATGTGGCTGCACGTACATAATGTCATCTATATTACCATAATTTCCGATGTGTTCAGACATCATGTGCGAAGCAGCCAACATCATTTCATCAGATTTTACAGATTGCCTCTGCTGACCATGTAAAGCATTGTCTCTCATATCATACGAAAATATCATATTATCGTCATGACTGTTCGTATACAATGGTTCACTGTAGTTACTGATGACAGCGCAACTATTTATTTGCCCGTTGGTCTCTTCAAGAGTAGTTGCAACTGTAGTACTACCGTAGGAACCATAACCACAACTATCCATTAGTGTGGTCGTATTTAATGTTGTGGTTGTTGTAGTTATTTTTGGAATTGTACTAGTCACATTGACACTTATATTTGTTGGTTGTACAACCGCGCTTGTCTGCTGCACGAGAGTCGTCGTGCCGGCAAACAAGCCACCTACATTTGGAACGAATTTCGAGGCCAAACCAAATCCGAATCCACTCCTTTTCGGCTGTTGTTGTTTTGAATCTGAATCACTTTTGGCTGTTGCAGTATTTACACTGCTAAGCACACCGTCGAGCCCGCCTTTGAAACCTTTAGAAATACCACCAAACATACCAGTAGCCTTATCAGTAACATTAAGTGTAGGTGGCGATAATGTTGTGTCCGCAACTGATAAAGTAGTTATTGCTGAGCTTTGTTTTGTATATGCATCTGCATTTGTTGGCATAGATGGGCGATAATAACTACCTTGTGTACCTCCGCTTATGCTAACGCTAGCAGCGGTTGTAATGGTATCATCCTTATAAACCATTATGTCGGTTGTTGCTATTTCAGGCTTTGTTGACATTTCGGTATTCGATTTGTCAATAGTGGTAAGTGCTGCCAACGATGACCAATCAACATTATAGCTATCGTAAAAACTATCATCAAAAGCCGAAGTGAGTGACGGTACCGTTACTGATGCTGACAGGGCCGTTGTAATAGCTGTATCAACGCTCTTATTTATGATTGGGTATGAAAATGTAATACTGTCGTCACTATAAATGGTTTTCGTTGTGGTGGTACATGTTTTTGATGTTGTCAATGAACAGATATCGCCAGACACTTTATACGTCTCTGAAATATTATCGTACTTGCTTACTGCGGCAACTGAAGTAGTAGTCATAACGTTTTCAACGCTAGCCTCGCTTAGGGAAGTAAAGTTTGCATTTGGTATAGTGCTTACATCTGTTGTGGGTAATGTATACGCATTCATATCAAATGTATGCAACATTGCATAGTATTTACTGTAGAGTTTGTCGCTTATATTTAGGTTTGTTGTATCACTGTTTAAACTGCCACCGCTACTATCAACCATTGATAATATTGGCATTTCATACTTTGCCAAATAATCCGTATACGTTTTTGGCGTAATCGTGTCAGCGATACTAACTGTGTTTTTGATTGTTGTCGTTATCGCCATATTCGCTAATTCAACAGTTGTTGTGAGCAATGGCCCAACATTATTATTGGGCAATGATGTTACTACTGATGGTGTGGTTGTGATTATGCTATGAGAATCATTTTGTAATAAATTTTCTGACCATGTCACATCATGTCCAATAAATGGCGTAGTTGAATCCGTTGTTGTTGATAACGTTTTTAGATTCGAGGCATTTCTGACATCAAACGACGATGAAGTTACAGGAGAAGCTGTTGTTGTTGGTGTTACCGATATTTTATATAACGTATTTAATGTGAAAGGCCGTGACTCGAGTGTATCACATGTTGTTGCAACTGCTATGCTTGTACTTGATGGTGCACAACTCGTCACAGATAACGTGGTAACTGTTGTTGTTAACGTTGATAAAGTTGTTGCAGTCGATATTAAATAACTTTCACCAGCATTTTTAAGATATTCATCATAAATTTTAGACATTGTTGTATCAAATATACCCTTAGCATTTAGATTATAAGTATTGGCAAATGAATTTTCATCGGTACTCATAGCTATACTATTTTTGAGTCCTACGACAGTACTAGTACTTAAGTTATCATTAGGTTTAACATTACGTATAATTCTATTACTTTGGTCACTACTACATGGAAAAAACATGACTGATCTTTTTGTTGTTGGTGTTGTTGTTGTTGATGTTGATGATGGCGTGGTTAATGGCGTTACAGTTATTGATGAAATATCGCTTGCGCGATCTATTGTACTTTTAATGGCATCTGTGGTCTCTAATAATGTTGGATTAACTACTTTATTACACGTATTTGGTGGAATTTTTATGGAAGGCGACGATGGTGGCGAATTGGATGATGTGGATGCAGTTGTCTGTAAAAAATTATCATATACATTAGCATATATACTAGAATGTTTAAACGCAATGCTATCATCAATGTTTCCGCTACTAGTGCTCATATTTGTAAAAAAACCGGGCTGTTGCTTGAAATAAAAAGGATGATCGCCTGAAAGCGAAGATGTTGTATTCGTTAGCATTGTTGTTGTTACTGATAATACAGTTGATGTTGGTGATATGATAACACTATTATTATTGCTGTAATTGAGGCTGTTTTCCTTATCAATATCATATTTACCAAAGGTGTTATTGTTATTGTAAACACTGATGTAACTGTTAATTTTGCTATGCGCAAAAACTTCACTATCTTTCGCTGAAGTTGGCGACGGTATTGTTGTTAAATGTTTTTTACCATTTGTTGTTGAAGTAAAGTCAGTAGTTTCGCATGCATTGCTTGTTGCTTTGGTTGCTGTTACATTCGACATATATGGTAGATATGATGTTGAATACGATGCTATTAATGTTGGTGATGATACTGATGCTGTTGATGTTGTTAATGATTCTATACATGTTATTGATTTAGATGCACTACATGTGTCTGTCAATAATGAAGGGAATGTGGTTGTTATTGCAATTGCATTAGTTGATTTAATTTGCGATGTTTCTATTGTACTTTTTGTCGTTGATACTGCAGACATATCGCTCATATTCACAACTTGCGACATCACTGTGTCCACATTATCAGCGGTCGGTGTTTCTTTTTCAAATGGTAATTGTGGTAGTTTCTTGTTAACACCATTCACTTTGTCGTGGCAGTTGCTATTGTTATTATTAATTTTTGTTTTTGGTGTGGGTAGACGTTTTGGCAATTTTCTAGATGAAGTCGTTAGTGTGAGCGTTGATGGTGTTTTCATTGTCAAATGGGTTGTAACCGACGAACTTGTATTACGTAGAATATTACTTGACGACGTAGTATTCGCTTCATTACTAAAAATATCATAGCCGCCAAAAGCTTGAGCTTTTAATGCTACAGAATCAGTCTGTGCGACGTTCACATTTTCACTATGAGTCGTCACATTACATTCGATAGAACGTTTCACCGGCACACGCGTTTCGCCGGACGCTATCACAGACGCCGTAGTCATTGCCATCATAATTGCATATTTGCGTTGTTGCTGTAGCTGTAACTTTTGTGCTGTTTCTGCGGAATATGCCGCCATGTCAGCTGTATTACTATTGTTGTACGCAGTATTGTATGATGTACTGCAACCATCGTATTCCATATTGCATTGGGGTGTCATCGATACATATTGCCGTTGCAATAAAGTTTCACTATAAGTTGAAACTGCGGAGGTATTCCTGCTTTTATAATACGTATTGCCATAAATATGTCCGTAGTTTTTTATTATTGTCGTATTGTCGCATGTATCCTTGCAAAAATTAGTTGAAGTCGTCGGTGTAATTTCTGTTGATAAAGACATCATTGTCCCAGTATTATGACCGTCTACTGTTTTCCTACGATTTACATTCCCACATTCCTGGTTAAGATGAAGCTGTGGCAATAAACGCAAGGGCGCCGGACCACTACAAGCAAGGTCTTTAGCACCCTCCTTAATACCAATATTTTTATACACAGTAGTATCCGAAGTTGAACAAGCAACCGCGCCGCCATATGATTTAGTGAGGCTCTCATTTGCACCTACATTGGGTGACATTCGTACCGCCCCTATTGTTTGTAACGGTAATATAGATGATTTCGTTAGAGGAATGTTCGCATCATAACATTGTGCTTGCATTTTCATGTCATCATATTCATACAAACCATCCCGCCAGCCGCTGCTTTGTTCCGTTGGTATGCATGGCAATACTTTCGTACTGCCAATGGATTTATGTCGTCCGCTAAGATACTCATCATTATGGAGGGTATTCTCCCAACTGGTGTACCCGGCACTGTATCCACTGGTATCGTGGTTAAATCCCACTGTATTTTCATCACTTATAGTACTAATGGGAATATTGTAGCAATAAGCTGTACTATTTACGATGCCTTCATTCCTATAGCTATCGTTAATGTAACTATTGTATACGCGATTTTGATCGTTTAGGTTGTCATTGATGATATAACTGCTCCCATTACTATAGTCTCTTTGCAAAGTCATAGATGTTAATGATTTGGTTGATATTGTGGCACCCCTTTGTAATAATAAATCGATATCACCTCCACATGTATTCACACATTCTCTGTTACTATCCACGTATATGTCACTACCAGGTTCGTAAGACTTCCGCTGCATTATAATGTCTCTTGATCCTCTGGAGCCGTTGGTGATGTCGTTTGTATTACTGTAATTATATATATCAACGTTGTTTTTATATTGCTCATTACTACTTTCTCTATGTAAAGTGCTATTAATTGGTCGGCTATTGCAGGATAAGGCATCGTTTTCATTGTTGTAATAGTAGTTGCTTTGTGAATGAGACTGCAAAATATGTAATATGTAGTATTACAATAAAATACAGTATATATATAAATTGTACAAAAAGTTATTTTCATACGTAAAAAATAGTTTATGTATTAGTAAAAAACAAATTAAAATCTATGTCGGAAAGAATGCTTTTATTTGGGAAGAAATTCAACTAATTATTACGCCTATAGTAGGATCCCTTCGATAAATGCGAGACAACTCTCGCTCAATGACTGCATACATAGAGAACCTTCGGGCATAGCTCGGTAATTAATGATGGTGTGGAAAGCACCAACTACATGATCTCAATTTTAAATTGGGAAAGAAAGTCCAAAGCAAATATAGAAAGAGGTGGTTGGCGTAAAGATATTTTATCTGCGAGCAACATATTAAAAATGTATACGCAAGGCTCAAAAATGGAGGACGGAGTTGGTGCAGGGTATACATGATGTAGCCTTTCAAGCTGCCGGACCAAGCTGCAATATATTTCAAGCAGTGATCTTTGCTATTAGGGCGTGGATTTTGCCTCTAATGCATCAGCAGGCAACTACAGAGGTAACATTTACGTGAACAGTCAAGCGACAATCAAAGATCGCGATAAGCTTGAGAGTCAGGGCAGCAGTGGAGGGTGTCGCAGGTCACAAACGCATCGAGGACAATAAGATAGCGGACGAGATTACCAAAAGTTGTGTACGGCTGAAAACGTAATGGACTGGTAAACCCATGTACTGTCTATACGGCGAATGGATAGGAGCATGGCAAGGAAGATCAAAACAAGGTATAACGAAATAACTGTTCTACGGATCGTTCTGAACAATTTGCCTGATGATGGGTCTAAAACCTGAACTATGGGTCTAAAACCGAATTTGAGCCAGCGATTTTTAAGGCGTAGTTTAGCTTTCAGGAACTATAAAAATTTGTTCGTCAGTTTTTATAATATGCGAATGAAATTTAATACGTAGGTGAATTTTGATATTAATTTTGCCCGAAAAACTATAGGTCATAAACCGAATTTGAGCCAGCGATTTTTAAGGCGTAGTTTAGATTTCAGGAACTATAAAAATTTGTTCGTCAGTTTTTATGATATGCGAATGAAATTTAATACGTAGTTGAATTTTGATATTAATTTTGCCCGAAAAACTATAGGTCATAAACCGATTTTGAGCCAGCGATTTTTAAGCCGTAGTTCAGCTTTCAGGGAATATACAAATTTGTTCGGCAGTTTTTGAGGTAGGCGAATGAAATTTAATACATAAGTAGGTGAATTTCGATTCGCAATCGACCAGCTATAACATATATCTCCCGTACAACCGATTATTCAGATCTTTTATATTCCGGTATCCTGCCTTTAATTAAAAAACTAAGAGCAGGTAATTTTACAGATTTGTCCTCTAATACATACTTAACAATGACAGTGAAAATAAATAAAAATGGACAACTATACCATATATCTCCCATACAACCGATTTTTCAGAAATATATAGGCGAACAATCTTAAAAAATTGCGTGGAAACATGTTCGCTGGCATAATTTATAAATTCCGGACGTCTCTCTATCTCCAACATCGCCGATATAGTGATTTCCAACTTTCCGGTTGGCTTTAAACCTTCAATATTGGATATTTAAATGAAATTAAGTGTACATGTTTTCTTAACTATAACATGGTTTAGCGCTAAATATGAATGAAATTGTTTTCAAGACTGTTCCTAAAATTATATAACGAAATTTATTTTACGTTTCTTTGGATGACTTTATATCGCATATACATATGTATCTCAATAGAATTTAACTTAAGCGAGACTACTATTTCGATTAGTATTATGGTATTTAAAATTATTATATTACATTATTTCATTTTAAAGGAGCGTCCACTCTGGGACATGGGTAATACGTCTAACTTTCAAATTCTTCGTTTATTTGGAAAGGACGCAAAATTTTCGTTAGATTTATGGCTCGCGTCAGATATGGAAGCCAGTCTGATAATGACTTAGCCCACTACGCGATAGTGCCACTATCGCAAGACAATTTTTTTTGTGTAATACTATGACGTGGACTATTACTGTAAAAATTTCAGTCCTGCCCACGGCTTTTATAAAACTAGAAAGTGGTGACACTTCTCCTTCGATGGCGACTGTCGAAAATTGGTTTAACAAGTGCTAACGTGATTGCACGTTGGTTTTTAACAACCCACTCTTAAGAGAATCACTTCAGAGCAATGTGTGACGCTGTTTAAGCGCAATCCGATGGAGTAAAGTGGACTTTATCGGAGAGCTTGCTCCAAAAAAATGAAGACTGTACTGTAGGTTGGCAAAGATATGTCCACCGTTTTGTGGGATTCACCAGGTGTGATATACATCGACTAATTGAAGAAAGGAAAAATGATCACAGAGTAAGAAAAAAGTGCTCTTCCATCATGACAACGCTCCGTACCACAATTTTAAGTTCCAAACTCCAAAAAGCTGTGTGCGTAGAAATTTTAGTGGAATAAGGACGAGGCCTATTGTGAAGACCTACAGAAAGCTTATTTTTCAGACGGGTTTAAGAAGTTATGGAATCATGGGATCAAATCTATCGAGCTAAACGGAGAATTTGTTTGATGCTGTAATCCAATATGTTGTAGAAAGGAACTGTGAAAGTTGTTTTAATAGAACATTCGATTTTTCAAATTTCAATTAAACTTAGTTATAGCATATGATTATCAATGAGCGCAAAATATTTAAAGTGCCCCTAATTTCTTGTTTGTCAACTTTGGCGTTTGCCTTGCCGTAGACATGTCCCTATTAGTGAGAATTTCTGTCCCAAAACAATAATAATAATATAGACACAGACTGTATAAACAAAAAACATAATCATATTTATTATATATATATATATATAAATATATTTATTTACTTACCGTCATATTTAAGCCTTGCTCTGGACGCTTAATTCAGTTATCATATGTACTTTAATTACATCTAATAATTCATATTGTAAAATTATGTAAATAAATACATATGTATAAATTTACATATTTAGTAAAAGATCGACTTCTTCAGTTTTTAATTAAAGATTTTATTTTAATTTTCGTAGATATTAATACCCTCTACAAGGTTGGTATATTCTGCATTGCTTGGATGTAGTTTAGCGTACGTTTCAATTCTCAGTACTTAGCGCTGCAATGATTGATTGTTGGGTTACTGTATTTTCTTATATGGTAGTAATTTTTGATAAATGATTATAAGGTTATAAAGGTTTACTCATGATTATCATACATCCATATCTAACAGTTAAATCCGTTTGGGTTTTATTTTGACATTTTAAGGGAAGAGATAGTTGAACTCTTATTGTATATAAATTTACATTAGAATAAGCAACGGTGCTATGCTTCTGTAATTTTGCTCTGTATTTTCTTTTTGTAGTCAGGGCAATTGTACGTCTTCTAATTTTTATAGTTCTAATTGTTGCTTTCACACTTCTCAAAGTAGATATATTTAGCAATAATTTGAGATGTAGTAGCGTTTTTTCGTCCAGTGCAGTGAATAGGTACATTGTGATGACGTTAAATTAAATTCATTTAGGTAGTTATGTTTTGTGTTTGTCTGTTTATAATTGTCTCTCTTTAAAACTCAATTGAGAAACCAAAAGTTACATTCTGCTCCGATTCGATATTTGTTTGATTGTGAAAAACATAGTAAACGTTTTTAACTCCGCTATTCCACTTTTCAAGCTCTGCAATAATAACGGAATATATGAGTTATTAGTTTTTTAAATTAAATTCGCATATATATGTACATATATTAGTATATTTTATCTTTATACATATATACATTTCTTGTGTGCGTGTGTATGACACTAAACTCCTGCTAGACGGCTGGACCGATTTTGATTAAATTTTTTGTGTGAGTTTAAGGGGATTCGAGGATGGTTTAGATTCACAATTTAGTCCACTAGAAAATGTTTATTTAACTAATTTTTCATTTATAAGTAGTTGTTAATTTTCGAATGTTTTACAAAGAATTCCGGCAGACTGCGCTGCCCGTTATTCAAAAGTATATTTGAGCCTGGTAGATGGCACTGATGTCTATCTAAGATAGCATAAGTATAGTTTAAGCATTCTAATATACAATACATATTTTCACGCTTTCGATTGGTCGGATTGTGATAAATATATATGAATGACGTTAGATGTTGTAATAAGTTTCTAATAAAAATTTTCATCAAAACGGTCTAATTAATACAGCTAATTTCAAAAAGTTTACATTTAAGACGGACAACGTCTGTCGGGCTTCTAGTACGTATGTATATTTTTATACTCTCGCAACTTGTTGCTACAGAGTATAATAGTTTTGTTTACCTAACGGTTGTTTGTATCACCTAAAACTAATCGAGTTAGATATAGGGTTATGTAAATATAAGTGATCACGATGAAGAGAGGAGTTGAAATCCGGGTGGCTGTCTGTCCGTACGTGCAAGCTCTAACTTGAGTAAAAATGGAGATATCTTTATGAAACTTGGTAGACATGTTTCTTAATACCGTGAGACGGTTGGTATTGCAGATGGGTGTAATCGTACCACTGCCACGCCCACAAAACGCCATTATTCAAAAACAAATAAATTGCCATAACTCAGCTCAACAACAAGATATAAGACTCTTATTTGGTATACAGGATCACAATAGGGAGGGGCATCTGCAGTTAAAAAATTTTTTTAAGTGGGCGTGGTCCCGCTCCTAATAGGTTTAATGTGCATATCTCCTAAACCGCTGATGCAATAATAACAAGATTCACTGGAAGCAAATGGTTTTAGAACCTCTACCTACAGTGTGAAAATAGGTGAAATCGGGTGGCAACTCCGCCCACTCCCCATATAACGGTACTGTTAAAAACTACTAAAAGCGCGATAAATGAAGCACTAAACACGCCAGAGACATTAAATTGTATCTCTGGGATGGTATGAGATGACTTTATAGGAACCGCGTTCAAAATTATACAGTGGGCGTGGCACAGCCCACTTTTAGGTGAAAACCCATATCTTGAGATCTGCTTATCCGATTTCAACCAAATTCGGTGCATAACGTTCTTTTTATATTCCTATGTCATTGTGCGAAAATGGGCGAAATCGGACTACAACCACGCCTACGTCCCATATAACACCATTTTAAATTCCATCTGATTCTTTCATTTTCCACTATGCAAATCAGGCAACAACGACTGTATCGGGATAAAACTTTGCGTGAATAATGCGATTAAAGTATGCCACCTTGTGGCCAAAACTTGTCTAAATCGAACCAAAACTGTTCAAGCCCCTAAGTACTAAATATGTTGACCCCAGTGCCTATAGTTGACCTTCTACCGAAAATATTAGTCAATCCACAAAGAAATCTCAAACGAGTATACTATTTGACTTTACGAGAGTATAAAATGTTCGGCTACATCCGAACTTAGCACTTCCTTACTTGTTTATAATAAGATAATTACAATTTCTATACAATTGTTTGTAGAGAGCTTCATTGAGAATTACGCAAACTATGAAGTTTATCTTAGATTTACAATCTAGATTATAATACAAAATATAAAAGAATGAACTGAGTTCAGTAATTCCGCGTACAAATGCATGTGAAGTTATTGTTATTATTACAAATTCAGCTATTTGATGGGCAATTTTAATTATTTTACCAATAAAAAGTTCATTATGTTTTTCACTGACAAATATTTTTATCAATAATTTTTAAAATTAAACCTCAAGTACAATCCCTTTGATTTTTACAACGGCAATAACAATCCGCTTTTATGTGTAAATAATACTTTCACTGTATTAAATAGTTCCTTATAATAGTAGCTGTCTTCCATCCGCGTTGGAGAATAGCCAATCGGACAGACTATACGAGATGTTCAAGCAAACAGGGGCATATGTGGTGCAACCCTGCGCTAGCATATCCTCTGACGAATGCGGAATTGTGCAACGGTTCTTTTGAGAGTATAGGAAAAAAACCAGCCTCTTCTTGTTAGTCATGGAGAAATATTAGAAGTAAACAGGGTGAGCCGCGGGTGGGTTAAATTTCCCCAATGTAATGTACAATAGATAAATTTTACAACTACGTAGTCAGAGTATATATGTATATATATATAAATATATAAGTAGAATCCATAATAGTAATAACTAAAGAAAATAGTTAAACGGATTTTGAGTCTACGTAAACACATACAAATATTAATAATTTATTAAAATTATAGAATATTAGGAAGCGACCCGTTGTTATGTTAGCACTAAATTCTTAATCATATAGATTACCATCATCAAAACGACTCTATAGCATTCGCTGATCATGTCATTGTAGGTCAGCACGAGCTGTCATACACGGATCTGTTTAGAAATTCAGAAACAATATCAAATATAATTTGCTGCATCAATCACAGCCGAAACCACATCTTGTCAACCAAGATAATTATCTGTTTTTGTATAACCTTGCTGTCCAGTAATGGATATATCAATAGCACAACTCAACAAAAACTGCTAAAATTTTAACGAAATAATCCAGATATTTGGTTTAAAAAAATTTAAGCACAGTTTGTCACGCACAACATAAGAAGTGAAAATTCTTAAGGCACCACCATAGGAACTTAGCCGCGCTTATTTAAATTTGAATCAAGCAGTTCCCCAATTCGTATTTCGACCATATGTAGGCAGAGGTTATTTTCTATTAATAAAATATATTTATAAATAGGTAGACTTTATATACAATAGGTGGATTTTAGTTTTGATCGTCTACATTATGTAAAATTATGACTAAAAAGCTAGATGCGTGCAAAACCATTTACATAAACTGAGGAATAACACCATTGCTAAATTATGAAAACAAAAGATCGTTGTCACTACGGGCATAAAATCGGCTTCAGAATAGATACGTTGATTCTGTAGCGAAAAAATATGCAACTGACAGCTTAATTGAATGTCTGCATATGGAGCGTGACAGATTGATAATGCGTACTCTACCAGAGAAGAATCCGGCAGACCAAAAATAATAATAATATACATATATATAAATTAATCGAGGCAGTGCTGTTGAGCAGAGATATGTACACGCAGTTTCAATGTAAGTTAGCGACTGACTTCATTGAATATAATATACATAAGAACAGTGTAAAAAGAAAATTCAATTTGATGATTTGGAAAACCAGACGTCTTTGTTAAACCATCTGCTAACATTTCGCTTGTAGAAATATATTCCTTATCTTGCAGCATCTCTCGTATAAATTTCACCTTTATGTCCACATGCTTTATAACGAACAAAAGCACCTTCAGCATTTCGCTTAGTTTTAAAAAACCACTTCGAATTAATTGCTCTTTTACCTTGAGGCAATTTCGTAAGCAACCAAGTTGTGTTTGACTTGTGAAAATCTATCTCTTCTTCCATTGCGCATTTCCAGTCACCTGCTTCTGTTCTGTTCAATGTCTCTTCAAGGCTCACAGGATCATCGGCATCAGACAATACGCCTTACAACAAACTTCCTTTTGCCTTGTTCGCAATATACTACGATCGACGAACTGCACACTTGTTACGCTGATTACCCGCATCGCTTTCATCAGGTGTATCGTACTCACTTTCTGAAGATTTACTGACATCAGACAATTCGCCCGAATTCACCTACCCTGAATTGTTAATGTCGTTAGCTTATTTTTCTTTAATAACATCAACAATAGACTTGGCTGCTGATATTTTCTAAAAAGGTAACATCGCGACCCACAATAAGCCTGTTGTCAGATTTTCGGTAAAGACGATATGCTTTGACAAAACGCAATATCCAACCAAAACACACTCATCGGATCTCGGATTTAACTTTAAACGTTCCTGCTTCGGTATAAGAACCATCGCTGTAGACCAAATATTCGTAAGTGTTTCAAATTCGGTTTCACACCGGATCATATTTCTTCCGGACTTCGACTATTACCTCTACACGGAATGCGATTTACTAAGTACGCTACTGTATTTGCAGCTTCTGCGCAGAATATGTTTTCTAGGCCAGAATCCAGCAGCATGCACTTCACACGCCCAATTAACGTACGTAATCGGGTGTATATGGAGCTGTTTTTTGGTGAAAAATATTACATTTACGCATAAATTTTATAAATTCTGAATTACAACATTCAGTGCCATTATCATATTATATATTCTCAGCACTTTTATTTTACGACCACATTCACTTCATTTTTAAATATTTTGCTTGAATTTCTCCAATACGTCTGATTTGTATACAATCGGTAATCTTGCGCGCTGAACGATTTTGTGCTAACTGGACCAAGAATGCCCGAATGTATAACGTCTAACAAATTTATAGCATAGCTGTGATTTAGTTGTTATTATAGTTTGTTCACCCTTACAGCATACAATGCATCCTTTCTCACTTGCGCCGTTGAAATTAACTCCAAGCGTTGAATTCTGCACATGCTATTCTTGCAAATATGTGCTAACCTTTAATGCCAAAGCTGAAAACTATCAATAGTAGTCATTGCTTTTGAAATTGAAATTTTGGCACAGTCTAGTTTATACAAATAATTTTCTGCATGCGCTTTTGCAATTAATCTGTTTTCCGCATCAAAAACCTTACATGCATTGCCTTCAAACACCACCTTTTGGTTTTGCTTTATTTGCCGCACCGACAAAATATTAGCGCAAAGGCTGGGAATATATTCCACATTTCAGATATTAGTTTCGACTTTTTAGTTGTTCACATTTCAAACTATGCTGACCTACACTTTTAACAGAAACTCGCTCTCTGTTCGCAAAAATTACTTCAGTATGCTCTACCGCTCTCCATTTCGAAAGTAATTTCTGATCGTTCGTTAGATGTGACGTTGAGTCGGAGTCGACTTTCGCCGCTCTAAGAATGCAAAAAACACCAATTCACTAAAAACGAATTTGAAAACGTTGCCGTCCTATTTTTACGTCCATTCTCGGTTATATTCTTCGATTGTGCAGACTTGCGACACTCTTTACACATATGGCCTTCCTGACCACAATTGAAACAGCGAAACTTTTTCCGACTTTTGTCGTTCTTTTTCTGTTGAAAATTCTTTGAATACAACAAACTTTTAACGCTATCGACGGTTAACCTCTCTTTCGAATTTTCCACAGCCATAACGAGTGCTTGATACTCTTTAGGCAACCCAACAAGCAATAATGATGCAACGAATTCATCGTTTAGACCTTTATTTTGCAACTTAATTGACGTTATGACCACCTCGTTCACATATTCCTATACGGATTGAAACTGCTGCAGTTTTAACTGCACCAGCTTTTTCAAAAGCTCTACCTTGCGAGTTAAACCACTGTCTTCATAACTGCACTTGCTATACTCGAAAAATTATTCAGCTTCACCAAGAGCGTTGTTGTTGTTGTAACGGTTACCTAATCCCCGTTTGGGTGATAAATTCCAGATTGGTTGTCGTCGAGGTCATCTAACGGGAGGCCCAGGAAACGAGCTGTTTCGACGGGGGCAGACCATAGGGAAAAGGGTGTTAGATGAGTGGGGTTCGTTGTGCAAAGGGGTGGTTAGTGTCATGCGGAGACTCATTGCACGCAGGACATTCACAGAGCTGAACTTCTAAGTTTACCCGTTCACTGCTGCCGCAATCTTTTCCGATGAATTTTCGGATAAGCCATTTTGCGTAATTTTCCAGCTTTTTAAAACTCAATACGTCGCCGAAGTTTTTCAAATGGAAAACTAAAAGTTCCCACAGCCATTTTCGAATCAACCAAAACTTTAGAAACAATTTTTAGATAATTTTACGTTTTGCAAATAAAGCCCATAACCTGTTGAGTAGAGATATGTACTCTTTCAATGTAAGATGGCGACTAACTTTATTGAATGCAATATACATAAGAATAGTGTAAAAAAGAAAATTAGATTTAGTGATGCCAGATTTATATTATTTCATAACAAGTGCAAACCCGTCCTTGTCTGTATGACAAAAGTATTATACAATGGAATACCAAGATAACAAAAACATCTGATTTATGTTTACTTGCGCATAATAAAAACATCTGATTTATGTTTACTTGCGCAACGCATTCGTTGTGACATACCTCTACTTTACGTACGGCACTTCACTAGCACAGTACTCATTCTGACGCCGCCTTAACTTTTGACAAATAATGTAAATACTTATTGTATTTTGTTCAACCACGGAATTATTTCCTTTTTGGTTTTGATCGGTCTGTTTGTATGGCAGGTATATTCTGTAGTGGTTCGATCAGAACACTTTCATCGAAGATTGTACCTTGAGCAATAATACATGTCAAATTTCGTGAATATATCTCGTCAAATGAAAAAGCTATCCATACAAGCACTTGATACCGATTGTTCAGTTTGTATGGCAGCTATATGCTATAGTGATTCGATATTTGTGTTTGGGCAAATGAGCAGCTTCTTGAGCAGAAAAGGACGAGAGATTTCAGAGCGATATCTCAAAAATTGAAGGCGGACGGTCAGACGGACGAGGCTAAATCTCGTCACGCTGATCATGTGTATATATGTATATATTCTATTGGGTCTCCGACGTTTAATTCTGAGTTTTATAAACTTCGTGGAAAACTTAATATACTCTATTCAGGGTATAAATATTGCGAACTAAACGAAACGCTAGGTTGCCCTTATTTATACTCGAGTTCATTCTACTTTCTTGCATAACTTATATTCAACAACTGATTTTTGGTTGTACTATTACCCAAATGCAAGTTTTATTATATTTACCTTTTGTTATCAAATCGATTTATTTTTTCCAAAAATATTTTACTGGGCACTATTGTGCTGTTGCGATAAGCTCTTCATGAGGAGTACCAAATGGAATCTTAGTTAGGATTTATACAGATGTATACGCTAGACTGCACCATTTCGCTGACATCGACAATGGAACACAAGCGTTACTACGAAATAATTGCATGGTACCGTTGAGGACATATAAAATGTCTGCTCTTTCAGATACCTTTTTATAATTATTTAAATTTTAATTCGCTTTAATTATGGCTGATGTTGTTGAAGTATTGGTTGTATAGATTGGCCTGAATATTTATAAAGGAAACACATTATTTACGTATTCGATACAACTAATAAAATAAACTACTCATGCGCCTACCCGGCTATTAGTTGAAATGACACAAGGTCGCCCGTTGCTCCATTGCCTACTTTCGTGCTATCAGTTTATTTTATGTTCAATTTTTTATATTTCATACTACATATTTTTAGGCGAAACTCACTTAACGGTTTTAAGGCATACGCATATGCTATTAAACCCTTCTCTGTATGCATTGATTTTAAGTACATTACATTTTCACTTTTTTTGTGTACTATGTATAACACTGAATTTGCAAACAAATTGCACACGTAGCATATTATGAGCTATTTGTAATATATTGAGTACACTTGAACATATTTCACTTTTACGCTTATGAAATTTCTCTTCTGTACCCATTTGATTATTCCTCGAATTAAAATTTCACAAATTTTATTTTGATTCGGGTTATGATATTCTGAATCTAAATGTCTCTAGGGTGAAATATAGCAATATTCATTAGCTTTTAAGAAAAATTATTGTATTACTATCGTAAGTGCACGTGATGCATAGTGCTACTGCAGCAAATAGACCCTCAATGTATGTACATATGTACATATATATATGTGGATGTACTTACACAAATATAAAAATACTCGTGACATGCAAACAACCCTCCTAATTTTACAAATGATAACAATAATAATGCTAACTACCACCCAACTAACGCTTACCAACCAATACACACTAACTCCAGGGATAATGGGATTCCCAACTCTTTCCAGTGTGAGAGCGCCTCAAAATGAGCGGTTTTTATAACATTTTCCACTGTAGCCAGATCGGACAAAATAATAATTTTTGGGCATTTCAATTATAACACCTAAGATTTATTAAGATTAAATAATATTATACACGTATCCGCTAAACATATGCAAAAACTATTTAAATCCATTTTTGTGATTTTGTGATATATTAAAACAACTGACTTTTGAACTTTCAATACTTAAAAAGTGAAAAAATGTATTAACTCTCAATTAGTTAATGTTTTTTATAATTTTCAATTGAAAATTAATACTACTAAGCATGGCATCACAAAAGATTTTATCACATACATTTCAATTTTTCGTTTTCTTTCATTTTTATTGTTTTCTTTCATTTTTATTGTTTTCTAATTTTTGTTAGTGATCTTTAACAGTGGCAACAAATCTCTCTGTTCACATTCTGAAGGATTCAATCTGGCCGTCCCTCTTTTTCCAATTGTTAAACGTCAGACCTCCTGAACTTTGACAGTTGCCTGAGTTCAGGAGGTTTTGACGTTTAGCAATTGCGCTCTGATTTCCAGTGAGAGATGAGTTGAGAGAGAGGGAGACAGTGAGATAAGTTTTTCTGTAGGATTTCAATCTGGCCGTCCCTCTTTTACCAATTGTTAAACCCCATACCTCCTGCACTTTGACAGTTGTCTGAGTTCACAAGGTATTGACGTTTAGCAATCGCGCTCTGATTTCCAGTGAGAGATGAGTTGAGCATCTCTTTATCTCTGCAAACTCACTGATGTGTTTATATCATAAGCATATCAAGTAAAAGCATGGAATAAGGGAGTAGCGAGAGTGACCATTCACAGTATGTTCCCACCTCCCAGGTGTACGATCACAATAAAACCAACATGGCTGCCTCTGGTGAGACAGGATGGCGAAAGGTCCAAACGGGTTGCGCAAAACAAAATACGCTGTAATAATTATTTATAACAATTTTCAATTTTGGTTATAAAATGATGTTTAATGTTGTTAACAACTAATTAAATTAAACCATCTTTATATAGATATACACATAGCCAATAAAGTCTGCGTCCACTCGACACATTTTTTTAAGTGAAGTAAAAACACAATGTAAATAGGTAATTCAGTTCAAATTTTTTACATATATTTCTTCTTTATAT